AACTCGGAATCGTGAGATGTAAACTCGGAATTCTGAGATGTAAACTCGGAATTCTGAGATGTAAACTCGGAATTCTAAGATGTAAACTCGGAATTCAGAGATGCAAACTTGCAATTGTGAGAAATACACTCGAAATTCAGAGATGTAAACTCGGAATCGTGAGATGTAAACTCGGAATCGTGAGATGTAAACTCGGAATCGTGAGATGTAAACTCGGAATCGTGAGATGTAAACATGGAATTGTGAGAAATACACTCGGAATTCAGAGTTGTAAACTTGGAATTGTGAGATGTAAACTCGGAATTGTGAGATGTAAACTCGGAATCGTGAGATGTAAACTCGGAATCGTGAGATGTAAACTCGGAATTCTGAGTTGTAAACTCGGAATCGTGAGATATAAACTTGGAATCGTGAGATGTAAACTCGGAATCGTGAGATGTAAACTCGGAATCGTGAGATGTAAATTTGGAATTGTGAGAAATACACTCGGAATTGTGAGATGTAAACTCGGAATCGTGAGATGTAAACTCGGAATCGTGAGGTGTAAACTCGGAATCGTGAGATGTAAACTCGGAATCGTGAGATGTAAACTCGGAATTCTGAGATGTAAACATGAAATTGTGAGAAATACACTCGGAATTCAGAGTTGTAAACTTGGAATTGTGAGAAATACACTCGGAATTCAGAGTTGTAAACTTGGAATTGTGAGAAATACACTCGGAATTCAGAGAAATACACTCAGAATTCTGAGATGTAAACTTGCCATTGTGAGATGTAAATTTGGAATTGTGAGATATACACTCAGAATTGTGAGATAAACTTGGAATTGTGAGATGTAAACTCGGAATCGTGAGATGTAAATTTGGAATTGTGAGAAATACACTCGGAATTGTGAGATGTAAATTTGGAATTGTGAGATGTAAACTCGGAATCGTGAGATGTAAACTCGGAATCGTGAGATGTAAACATGGAATTGTGAGAAATACACTCGGAATTCAGAGTTGTAAACTTGGAATTGTGAGAAATACACTCGGAATTCAGAGTTGTAAACTTGGAATTGTGAGAAATACACTCGGAATACAGAGAAATACACTCAGAATTCTGAGATGTAAACTTGCAATTGTGAGATGTAAATTTGGAATTGTGAGATAAACTTGGAATTGTGAGATGTAGACTCGGAATCGTGAGATGTAAACTCGGAATTGTGAGATGTAAACTTGGAATTGTGAGAAACAAAGTCAGAACTGCAAGAAAACAGTTAGAATTGTGGTGGAAACAGGCTTCCATATGTCATATTGCACATTCTGAAGAAAAAAAAAGTTTGACTTTATAATCATTCATCAAATTGTAAGAACTTGCTCTGCCTCTAAACTGACTTTCCTTTTCATCTGACATCATGAATCCCACATACTTTCGACCTCCTCCCTCCAAACCACGGCTTTCATTCTGCTATGAAACACCCCTTTTCATGATCCAATCAATTCCTAATGAATAAAATACAGTTCCACCCTGTGGGTTTTCTTAAATAGGTCACATTATGGAAGTACACATACATAGGGAACGCAAAATTAAATACAGTAACCAATCACTGCACAACAGCATATCCATCAGTTGAATTTAACTAAAGAATTAACAAAAGCTTGTGCTTTAGATAGATAGATAGATAGATTTTTTCCTGCACTTTACTAAAACAAGTGTTCATGTACCACAGTAAATCAGTGATTTTCTTTACATCCCATCAGCTCATGAAGTCATTTGGCTGTAAACAAAAACAACACATCACACAGTCCTAAAAATAAAACCCTAAAACAGCTTCTCCAGACGTCAACATGTTTTATCCATACATGAGATTCACTGCAACAGGCCGTCTGATACACAGGCTGCGTCTCAAAACCTACAAACTGCATCATAGACGCAGAGTCATAAAATGTTGCTGACTTGGAAGTGTCTATTATGATGCCCAAAAATGCTACACGCACACATATGTTGCCCAAAACTGTTGTTGACTTGGAATACGTCTATTATCATGTTCAAAATTGCTTCACACACAGTTCTGATGTCCAAACTGGCGCTGACTTGGAACACGACTATGTTTATGTCCAAAATTGCTGTTGGATTGGAACAAAAACGTTGCTGACTATGAAGTGCATGAAAAAAAAACCGCTGCATGCATCTCAACGCCGCGTGTGTTTACCTCCATACATACTGCTGCACGAGCGTCTTGCTTTGAGACGCGTCCAGCGCGCGCTGCTGCAAACGCGTTTATTTACATATACAAACAGACTCACGTACCGTAAAACCCCGCCGCCGCTCCGGAGGAAGATCCTACAGAATGGAGGAGAGGAGCGCGTGTGTGAGATGAAATCAGCGGACGGACACACACACATCCAGCGAACAGCATCCGCGCACTGCGCATGTCAGCGCCGCACAGACCATCATCATTCACGGGCCCCGCTCACTGTCACTGGGGTCTGTCAGTGGAGAACATAAAACACAAACACGGGACGGATTCATTACATCTCATACTATTAATTCATTAACCTTGATTTGCGAATGGTCAATGCAATTCAAATGCTCTTTATTAAAGTTAACATAATGTGTTACTGAGAAAATCAAGAGTTTTATATTGAGGGTCCTAGGTTAAAACTTGTTATATAGGCCTACTATTAAATATGACTTTTATTTTATTTTACCGTAATACAATAATTGTTGAAGAACAACATTCTTATTTACAGCAATGCAATATCTTCTCTTTTCCTTTAAGGGGCATAAATAAATAAATAAAAGCAACATTTTTATGCATAATTAAAAATGAGATACATACATGCATTTAAACAGGTGTAACATTTGTATTAACCATTGCATTGCAATATCTTCTTTTCCTCTTTAAGGGGAGCAAATAAATATTACATATGCAAATACATAAATAAATACATATTTAGCCAGGTATTTAAGAGCAACATTCTTATCTTCTTTTCATCTTTAAGGGGGGTAGGAGAACAATGAGGAATAATAATTAACACTTTAACACTTTAAATACAACAATTTATGCAAATAATGAAAAAATAAATAACTTGCAGCCATAACATGTTATATCTAAACCATTTACAAATGTTTTAAATAAGCAAACAAACAAACTGGTAGAAATCATTGTATTTTCAAAATGTACAGAAAATGTAAGAACAGCAGGATAAAAAAACATCTAGACGTTGAAGGTCACCTTTACAAGCACATCTGTACAACAGCTCCATAAATAAATATCTGTATATTTCCATAAATAAATATGGGAGGATGGTTGTTCAGACCAGGTGTGTTTTGGAGGGCAAAGTAAAAGAGGGTCAGATAAGGTACACAAATCTAAAAACTACATAAAAAATATAATAAGACTGGATTTCATGTTCACCTGCAAATGTGCTAGATTTACAAAAATAAATAAATAATCAAGCTAAATACCAGGTCTGTAGAATTAGGTCTGTATTCCTTCTAGAAAACACACTGTATCATACAGTATAAGCTGGTTTGTTCCCGGTCCAAAGTGGTCTACCATCTCTAAACCAGCTTGGTCAATAATCTCAGGCCTCAGTGGAGTGAAGAGAAAAGCACAAATAGGACAAATAGTGCCATTTAAAGAACAAATAAATACACCACAACACATACAGTGATGCTAGAAATGTAAAGATGCCGCCTGCCTCCTGTGATCGTTTGAACAGAAACTGCGATGAAAAACACATTCAGATTCAGTTTGAGTGGGAATCAATTGGGCTTGTGGCGTAACCGCAGATCAGACCTTTAACAAGGCAAATGTGTTTATATTTCATGAGAATGTGCTGATTGCTCGAAACTGAAAACCTGCCAGAACCAGCAAACAGCACAAAGGACGGCAGCTCGCAGATCATCATTCATTAAAGAGCACAACACCAGCACAACTCAAAGCAAAGCACATTATTCGTCAGGATGGGTTTGTAGCACACAGGGGACGCTTTCCTCCGAGCTCACATACACTGTTCCAGAGAAAAACTGCCTGCAATCACGCTTTTCCTTATTTACTGAAGTCTAAGAACCAGGCACAAAGAACAAAAAAAGAACACACAAAAAAAAGTCAAGATGAAACATCTAATTATGTTTTATTTGATCTTATTTTACAAGCCATTTAAGAGCAACTTTCTCTTAAGTCTAAGAACCATTTACATTACTGCAAATTAAACAAGTACAAAACTGAAAAAGAAGCAAAATGAAATATCATGCAACGTTTTATTTCATTTTATCGAATCATCAGTGCATCTATTTATTATATTGTTTTATTTAAATTTTTTTACTTCCTTTTATTATTTTATTTTACCAGGTATTTCTTTAAAAGCAACATTCTTAAACACATTTTTTATTATTTACTGAAGTGTTATACTTTTATATTTTATATTTAAAATATTTTATATTTTGTTTTATTTTATCAGCCATTTATTTAAGAGTATTTCTAATTGTACTTTTCCTTATTTGGTGAAGTCTAAGAACTATCAGTGCACCTTTTGTTATTTTTATTTGATTGTTTTACTATTTATTATTTATTTTTATTATTTTATTTTATTTTGGCTATTTATTTAAAAGCAACATTTTTCATCAGATATAAATATATATATATGAAAAGCTAATCAAGTTAAAGAGTGCATCTATTTATCTGCTTATTTTATTTTTCTTAAAATATTATATTTTTATATGTATTATATATATTATATTATTTTACTAGCTATTTATTTAAAAGCAACATTCTGACTTGCACTTTTTCTAAATTCCAAAAGTCTAATATTTAGACCCCCCCTGGCAACATGGGATTGCAATATCCTGTAGTTCTCTTAAAGGAGGGGGGGGGGTGAACAATTAGGAATAACAATAAAAAAACTGTAATACAACAGATTATGTCTATATATCTTGTAGAGTGCTAAAACTTGAATAAATGCACTTATATTGATATGTTGATAGTTGAAATTCTGCAGCAAAACTGTGAACTGTGCTGAGATCTGTTCATATTTACACACTGCCATCTACTGTTCACATCGTCTCTTCACAGCAACACTGTGATTTTTACACATGCAACATGTTGACAAATAATAACAGATGCTATTCACATGTGCAGCATTGATTTTACATGCACTAGACTCATGCAACCACATAATTAAAATAATAATCAAATGAAAACATGAACCGTCTCCTCTGTCTTACATAAAGACTCTTATAATACGTTTTCAACGATCTTCATTCAGCTGAATAATGCACAGACTAAATTGAGTCTAATTTGAACAGTTATTCTTTCTAAGTGTTAGCACGCTGTCAGAGGGTTGCTTCTTGATAAATGAACCCCCTCATTTGCTCTCTGTGGGATCAGAGCCTCATAAATAATGAAAATCAGTGCAATTGCAAATAGTGCGCACAGTGGGAAGCAGAAATAATTTAATAGAAAACATGTTCCATTGAGAAATGCCAGATTAATTAACATTTATAACCTGGAATTAAACCAGTAAGATGCACTGACATAATCATTTCCAACACAGGAGGGTAAATAAGTCAATAATACTTTAAACTTGAACCAAAAATCTCAACGAAGGGAAAAAAAAGTCATGTTAATGTAGGCCTATGCCATGTATGAAACAGAAATAAATAGGCTGACATTAAAAATGAACCAAAATAGTGTCCTTTCTCAAAAAAAAGAAATAGCCTATGACTTTTACAGTATCACATCCATCAGCTGAAGAGAATTGCTTGCTATATTTATTTTAAAACAGAATGGAACTATCAGCTTTGGAACCCATTTTCATGCGCTAGTTGATATAAAGATGTGTCAGTAATGATTGGACTGACATTTAAGAGTTGAACAATATAATATGCGTAGCGTGGTGAAATCATACAGGTGTGTAGTGACCAGTGTTGGGGGTAACACATTACAAGTAACGCGAGTTACGTAATCAGATTACTTTTTTCAAGTAACTAGTAAAGTAACGCATTACTTTTTAATTTACAAGAGAGTTACTTTTTCAAATAAGTAACGCAAGTTACTTTTTTTTTTCCAATTTACTGACTGACAGCTCTCCTGTCCCCATGCTGAGAGAAATCAGATGTTACTGTAGTTCTAAAATAAATATGAATATGCATTAATTCATCTCACTCACAAAAAAACAAAACAAACACAGATTCAGTATTCCTCAAAATGAATAAAAATAATGCAACTCAGAATATGACGCAAACCTGCAATAATTAAATGTTAAACAACACAAATATCATTTATGTATTTAATCCCATTCTATTAACCAATGTCTTTGCTTCTGAGCTTCGATGATCCAGTTCAAGCGTACTAATAAGCACAAATGACTCTAGACAAACATTTGTGTGTCTTTTTTACTGCTGAAGTGTGTTGAAATGTCTTCTTCTGCGTTCTACTGTACGGATGTAAATGTACTTTCCCTTCAGCCTGAGGTTTATTAATTTCACTTTTGGTGTGAAAAGCTTTTATATTTGCCAGAAATATAACTTTAAAAAAAAACAAACAAACAAGCAAGCCCTGTCCAGATTTTAAAAGTAACGCAAAAGTAACTTAACGCTGTACTAAGTAACGTAATTAGTTACTTTTTTATGGAGTAACGCAATATTGTAATGCATTACTTTTAAAAGTAACTTTCCCCAACACTGGTAGTGACTAACAATGCAGCTGATTGTCCCTGCGTTCCATTCGGAAGGACTCATCCCTATGCCCTAATCCCTTCAAAGGGGTTACCCTCCGGAGTGAGAGCTTTGAAGGGTTGAAGGGTGTAGTAGGGGACCAAACACCTGTTCCTCGAAGTGCCCTCTGCGTCATCATCACGTGCCCACACGGAGGCGCCTTCATCATGCAAAGAATCTGCGCAAAGCATCATGGGAGCCCGGAGTATCCATAAATTGTACCCTTCGAAATCCTTCATTCCGAAGGGCCCTTTGAAGTGGCCAGTTTTGGGCACTTCGGTTTGTAATGACCCTTCAATATGGCGGCCATGATATATCCCGTTTGGAACGCACCGTCTATATATAGGCTCATAGATTGCACGAAATTGGCTTGCCATGGTGATGGGCAGATGGCAGCAGTGCTTCATCTGGATCAGGCTCATGAGCACACATTTTCATTTCTGTGAAATACCAAACAGAAAGTCTACCAAAATCATAGAAATAAAAACAGAAATAATGAAAAAGTGGATTGACTGAAATACACAAATATACAATACATAAAACTATGGGATATATAGATAGGTAATATTTGAATATATATATAAAAAAAAATTAATATAATAATAATAATTATTATAATGCATGTTTTATTGGTTTCATATTTTGTTATATGATACAATAATACAGTGTAATTTTACTATCACAGAATTTTCATTTCAGTTTAATTTTGGTTGAAGATTTAGTTGTTTT